TAGGTCTTCTTCGTATGTTAGAATTCACAATGCTTTGTGTCTAATTTTGTTTACATGTCATATAGGTCAACTCAAGTCTTAGATGACATAAATAAAATTACATAAAAGTAAAACAATTCGTTCCAATGCAATGAGAATGAGTCTCTACTTGAGTCTAAAATAGACTTACGGTTAACTCGGGTTCTTTTTCTTGCTGCAACAACACTAGGACCCAGTCTACTTGTTCTTGCACTAGGGAATATATTTTTTTCAAGCTAAGTCTATTTCCTATATAGCATGTAATTATTATTTTTTTAATGAACTCAAATCATTGTCGATTGTATTTAAGAAATGTATATCTAATTTGAAAGTCACTACAAGAATAATCATTATTAGCGACACTATTTTTAGTGACGACATTAATGTCATGACTATAAATGATTATTGTGACGACATTCGAACATATAGCGATGGTATTCTTTAAATATGTTATTTTATTTAAAATAATTTTAAATATAACAAAATTTATTTAAAAATCGTATCGATCTTACCCGTCCAACCAACTGGTCTTGACGAATTCGAGAGCAAATATTTTATTCAAGCGAACTAGACTGGTTATAAACTGATTCTCAGTCCATCCGGTCGGACTGTGTCAAACCTGGTTTAATTTAAAAATAATGGATAAATGATGATTATGTTATTTATATATTTATTTTATAATACAATCATAAAATTGTTTTCCCGTGCATCGCACGGTAGGGGTGTTCACGGTCCGGTTTTAACCGAAAAAATCCGTCAATCCGGACTGCGGATCGGTTATATGGTCAGTTAAAACAGCATTAAAAAATCCGGTGGTCAATTTTTTTAAAAATCCGGAATAACCGGTCCGGTTAACGGGTCACCTGCGGCAAACCGCCGGTTTAACCGGACCGGACCGGTAAATATTAAAAAACTATAACAAATATATATACATTCAGTCATTCACTATGGCCGACAAATACAATACATTCACTTTCACTTTTTGGCCTTTTGTTAACTTAATTTTGTAAGACACTAAAACTTTTCACTTTTTCCCACCTTCGTTTTTTCATTTTCAGATTTTCTCACCTTTCTCTTCCTAATTTTTTGAGTTAACCCTAATTTTTCCTATCTTCCCACTCCCAGGCTTCTTAGTTCCCCGACCTTTTTTCGACTTATTTTTTCCTTCAATTTCATTATTGTTGTTTTTCTTAATTTTTAGGCCTAAATAATCTCTTTTGGGCCCAAAATTGAAAAATAAAAATTAAGCCCAAAATGAAAAAAATAAAAATTGAAGGCCCAAAACAAGAATTTTATATTTAACCGGTTAACCGCCAAACCGGACCGTCCAATGCAGTCCGGATTGTGGCCGGTTAAAAGATAAAACCGGTCCGGTTATGGACAAGAAAAAAAATTAACCGTTAGGTCCGGTTTGCTCATGGTTTGGGATAAAATCGGACCAATCTGGACCGTGAATACCCCTATCGCACGGGCCGTGCACTAGTAATAATAACGAGAGTAAGTTTTAATTCCTTATTGACAATAATCGTTCCACTAAAACAAAATTAAACAATTTAATATTTCACAAAATTATTTGACTTTATTAAAATTAAATATCGGTCCTTTTTTTCTTTTCTTTTCTTTTTTTCTCCCGTCACCTATCCTCCTCTCTCTCCCTCTTTTCCCTCCCTCTTCTTTCTTTTTTTCCTCTTATTTCTCCTTTCATCCTAATTTCTTTCCTTTTCCTTCCCTCACTACCTGCACACACCAATTTTTTTACGCATAATCTCTTTGTATCTCGACGATTTGTTTGTGTGTCGGATCAGTGAATCATTGAACCAATAACTTAAAATCAATTTGATGACCGATCCAATTTTCAGAATTATGATTGTAAGTTTTATTGGTTGGAGTTGGTTCAGAAGCCAACCCACCAATTATATCGAATAANGGAGAATTAATATTTTATTCTATCCATAAGGGCACTATGCATAAATCTAGATCTACATTCATGTGTGTTAATTTGACGACAAAAAAATCCGATAAAAGGCATTATCCTCTCCTCTAGACGCAAATGTTTCTTTTAATATTTAAAAAATTGCCACAATTAAAATTTTAAAACTATAATCTATACTTATATTAAAGGGGGTACTATTTACCAAATTAAGTAGCCAGAAAAGTCAACAGCATTTATTGCATTACTATTTTCGTATCTATACTTATATTAAAAGGGGGTACTATTTACCAAATTAAGTAGTCAGAAAAGTCAACAGCATTTATTGCATTACTATTTCCGTATAATATTATATAAAAGATATTCTATTTACTACATTTACTATCCAGAAAAGTCAACTGCATTAAATGTCATTACTATTTTGATATTATAATATTTTATTTATTTAATTGATTTATTTATTTATTTTATTTTAAAAAGGTAAGTATAATAAAAAGATTTTAATAATAAAAAAATTAAATACCAAATAAAAATGTACAATTTGACTTATTTGATTATATTTGGTATTTGATTATACCAAATATATTCCTATTTAGTATATACATTAAATACTTGCTAAAATATTTATTTGTTTTATTTGTCAAAGTTAAGTATAGATTTGTTTATATTATCAAATCATAAAAAAATATTAAATCTATATTGTAAAAGAAAAATTCATATAATTTTATAACAATTCTACTACACTATTTAACAATATTTCTTTTTTATTATATAATAAAATAATAATAAATATTATATGGTGAACAACAATAAGTAAAACTGTTACTTTCTCTTATATCAAGGGATAAATTTATATGCTAAAATTAA